GTGATTTACCTCATTTTAATTGTCCGCTTAGACCTCAAAAATCACCCCCGCATTAAGATTACCAAAATACAAGTTACTTACATAGGCTTAATGTCAATCTGATTGACCATTTACAAATGAAGTAATAAATAGCGAAAACCAAATATTAAACAAACAGCCCAACCATTGAAGCCCTAAGCAAACAAGTGGACGTTGACCAAAGCTGAGGAAAGGGTATAATAAGAGGAAAGAACCAAAGGCAGGCAATGAGGCAATACTTTCATGAGCAAATCAAATTCTATGTAAATAGCAAATACTTCGTAGAAAATTAGTAGAACGAACTGCTGACGAAAATCAAGCTATAACAACAACAAAAACAAACACGAGATATTTTGTCAAAAAACAGATTTACGAATAAAGAAGCAATATATCGAGTTGAGTGGAAGATTTAGTGGCGAATTCCCACACACTTAATAACAAATAACAAAAACAAGAAAATGCACGCTTAACTTGTCTAAAAAGCTTGAAGAAAGCATGCTGCTCAGAGCAGAATGTCCAGCTAACACTTAACGTAGCATTTTGTTGTTGCCTCCTTGAACTTATGGCCTACAAAATGCATGTGTGTGGGGGTGAGTAGACGATATAAAGCAATAAACTTGCTTGTACATACACATGTACAAATTATAGTCGCACGCGCCAAGCAAGCTCGAAGGAAAAGCGCAATCTTTGCAACCCCAAGTTAGTCCAGCTAAAAAGGGAGCGTGCCGCAAGCACTTGAGTTGACCAGCAGAGGAAAGACAACTAAAATAAAAGGCAAGCAAAACTCAACTATATATTTAAAAAACAAAAACAACAAGTTTGAAGAAGTAGCTCAATTTGAGTGGTTCAACTTAACAAATAAGGAAGTGCACGTCAGTGGTCAGTCTACAAGACGCGCCAGGACATAACTCGCTTTGGTTGCGTTAAGCAGTAGTCGTGTGAGGAAACTTACACATGTATGTGTGTATCAAGCATAATAGGAAACGGTAAATATAATATATCAATAGGCCACACATGTAATACAAGCGCTGTGAGAGGTGGTCCGATTGACGACGAGTACGCAGAAATAACGGTAGTTGGAGTAGTCATACATTCTTATGTGATTATGTAGCTAACTACACTTTTAAACAGACTATGAATTAATAGCTGCTGATTTATGCAAAAATCAGCCAAGTTTTGGAGGTTGACGTATAAAAACAGCTACTGGTATAAATTGATATAATCGTACAGAGTTGGTGTAGCAAGTGGTTAGTTCATTTTATGACGAAGTCAAACTCTCTCTTGAGCGGAATTCAACATAAAACTTTGCTGTTGTACTCCTCCGAGTAAATTTCCTCAACAATATAGCAGAAGAGTGGTGAATCGAACACAACTAATATTAGCAATCTTCACAGTGTCAATAAAATATTATTCGAATCCGCATTCAAAAATTATTCCAAGTCGGTGAAAAAAAATTTCATCGAAACAACATCAAATTTTCAAGCGATCTTATTAGATATAATTATCAGGAAGTAATCGAAGTAATAAAACATTAATTTTCATAAGGAAAGTCCATGTGACGGGTGCTTTTTTGAGTTTGTTTTGGAAATATTTATAGTGAAATGAAAAATCAATTTGCATTTTTCCACTCTATTTTTATTAAGCCTTTGGTTGTAATTTGAATAATTTTAAATAAAATAAGTAAGGAAGGGATAAGTTCGGGTGTCACCGAACTTTTTATACTCTCGCATGATAAAGTGATAATCGAAATTTCAGGCGTGGTTTTGAACCGATTTCACCCATATTTGGCACATGTCATCAGGGTATTAAGAAAATATTATATACCGAATTTCATTGAAATCGGTAGAGTACTTCCTGAGATATGGTTTTTGGTCCATAAGTGGGCGACGGCACGCCCATTTTCAATTTAAAAAAAAAACCTGGATGCAGCTTCCTTCTGACATTTCTTCCGTAAAATTTAGTGTTTCTGACGTTTTATGTTAGTCGGTTAACGCA